CCGAAGTGGAACAATCCAGATTGTGCGACAGTCAGCGCGGTTACCATCAAGCGAGCGATGATTCGCGGGGCACAACTGTACGCCGTCAGATGGATCGCATCCACGGCTGTCAGCGCACCGGCCGACATCGACAAACTCTGCGCGGCAGTCCCCGACGACTTGGCAACATTGATCCGCAAGCATGCCGACATCTTTCCGGACGACCTACCGCCAGGATTGCCACCCGAGCGAGACCACGACCATAAAATCCAGTTGGAGCCCGGCGCGCAACCGACGGTTCGGACACAGTGGAGGCTGACTTAGCCAGAGCTGGATGAACTTCGACGCCAGCTGGATTACCTGCTCGAGAAAGGTTTTGTTCGACCCACTACTTCCCCGTTCGCAGCCCCGATACTGTTCACCTCGAAGAAAGATGGCGGTCTACGAATGTGCATTGACTACCGCGCCTTGAACCAGGTTACCATCAAGTCTCGCTATCCTATTCCGCGTGCCGACGAACTCATCGACCAACTTCGTGGGGCAAAGTTATTTTCGAAAATTGACCTGCAAGGCGGTTACCACCAGATCCGTGTCAACGAAGCTGACTGCTACAAGACGGCGTTCCGAACCCGATACGGGAGTTACGAGTACACGGTCATGCCTTTTGGCTTAACCAACGCGCCTTCAACATTCCAGTTAACCATGAACGAAATTTTTCGGCCGCTGCTGGATAAATGCGTCATTGTGTACCTCGACGACATCCTAATATACAGCACTACCCGGGAAGCACATTTGAGGGATTTGGAAGCAGTCTTCGCTCTCCTGCAGCAGCATCGACTCATCACCAAGGGTTCTAAGTGCGAGTTTCTGAAACAAGAACTGGAGTTTTTGGGACACGTTATTTCCATCGCCGGTGTTAAAATCGACCCGAAAAAAATCGCGACCATACAAGACTGGAAGCAGCCGGCTAATCTCCGCGAACTTCAAAGTTTCCTGGGGTTTGTGAATTACGTTCGCCGGTTCATCCCGAACATGGCAGGGGTAACTTCCCCTCTCACGGATCTTCTTTAGAAAGGCACCTTTTATGAGTGGGGGGGAGAGCAGCAGGCTGCGTTCGACCAACTCAAACTTTTCCTGACAACACCTCCGGTTCTTCGCATTGCAGATCATCACCGTCCGTTCGAACTCATCACCGACGCTAGCGACCTGGCTGTTGGCGCAGTACTGTTACAGGACTTCGGCGAAGGACTCCAACCCATTGCCTACGAGTCACGAAAGCTGAATCCGGCCGAGCAAAATTATCCCGTCCACGACAAGGAGTTACTTGCCATCGTTCACACGTTCAAGGTTTGGCGCTGCTACCTGACGGGCGCTGATGTGACAGTCCGAACAGACCACAAATCGCTACAGTTCATCCGCGCCCAACCGACCCTCAACCCCCGACAGATTCGCTGGCTTGATTATCTCGAGTCGAATTTCCACTACAGAGTCACCTACAAACAAGGGGCCAGCAACATCGCCGACGCACTGACCCGCCCTTCAGTCCATACTGCCGCTGTCCTAATCACCCAAACCAATCCGCTGCTAATTGGACTATTTACCCACGGATACAGTACCGACCCATTCTTCACGACTAACAGTCATCCCCAACTGACAGTCAAGCAGGGGGCTTATTACCTAAAATCCGGTACCAATCGGATTTGGGTTCCCGCTTACCGTACCCTACGCGAGCTACTGATACAGGAGGCACACGACTCGAATTTCTCGAGTCACTACGGCATCGACAAAACTGCCAAACTACTGAGCCGTAATTATTACTGGCCCGATTTGCCGACGGACGTGCAGCAGTACGTCACCTCATGCGCCACGTGTCAACGCATGAAGTCGTCACGACTTCGACCTGCGGGATTACTGCAGCCGCTCGAGCTACCCAGCCGACCCTGGCAACAAGTGACAATGGATTTCATCACTGGCCTGCCAGCTGGTCCTAGTGGTAATGACGCGATTCTCGTCGTCGTTGACCGTTTGACCAAAATGGCACACATCGCCGCCTGCAAGACGACAATCACTGCCGAGCAGACAGCGAAGCTGTTTCTCACGAACATCGTGCGGCTACACGGCATCCCTTCGGCAATCATCAGCGATCGCGACCCTCGGTTCACGTCCAATTTCTGGACAAAAACCTAGCAGCAGTACGGCACACGTCTGCATCTGTCCACGGCATACCACCCTCAATCGGACGGCCAGACTGAGCGCACCAATCAGACGATGGAGCAGCTAATTCGTACAACGTGCACAGACCCGGCCTAGTGGGAAGATTCTCTTCCACTGATCGAGTTTGCGTACAACAACGCCCCATCAGCCACGACTACTCAGTCCCCGTTCTTCCTTAATTACGGGATAGACCCGACAAACCCCACTATCGCCACCGATCGAAAATCCGGCACCCAGATCGCAGCAGTTCGTCGAAAACCTCCGACAGTCTCAGCAAAAAGCCGACGATGCCATTCTCAAAGCCAACCAACGGGCTAAGCAGCAAGCTGACCGACGACGCCGTGACTTAAACCTTGCCCTTGGGCAATTGGTCCTGCTCAACACTCGAAATTTGGGGATTCCCCTCCCAAATAAACTACGACCAAGATTTTGCGGCCCATTCCTCATAATCCGCATGGTGACTCCCGTCACCGCCCAGCTGCAACTACCGGTCGACTGGCGCATTCACGATTCATTCCACGTCAGTCCCCTGCGACCGTTCGTCCCGAATACAACTGATCTCGACCGTCAACATATCAATCCTACGGTCAACCCAGTACCCGAGCCGACGATCGAGCCATTGAAAATTCTCGCTCATCGCGTACGAACTTCTCGCGATACAGCAGCCGTTGATTTCCTTGTACGATGGATCAATCTCACGACTGATGACGACCTCTGGGTCCCCGCAGCTATGCTCGGTGAACACAAAGTTGTCCAGGACTATTTACACCGACGACGTGTCCCGGATGTGGGTAGTCTCATCCCGGAAGGGGGGGTGGTGTAAAGAAAATTCCTTTTCTTTACTGGGCTCAACTACAGCGCGTACGCCCTCGACCCTCGGAACACCAGGCCCGACCATTTTCCTCGGTCCAATTTCGTAAACCCAAACCTAATGCGCGGCGCCTCCGTGGCTTTCGCCAGCCGAATCGCCCTAACCTGTTTGCGAGGTTCTCGGCTAGCCCTGTTGTGCCTATAAATGCCTAGGTCCTCATTTGTATTGACAACTCTTGAGTCACGACTCTTTTATTACACTACCTGTTATTACTCTGATTAATTCATGACAAGGTCCCTCACATGGGTTCTCGACAGGTTGGAACTCTTGAGTTGGTTTTGTTTTGGGGGCATATGTGTTAAAGTAGATACTAAGCACTAGGCAGGAACAAGGCCGCCATGAATGTGGCGGCGGGGTTTAGCTAGGAGAGTAGGCGAGAGTGTCGAGAGAAAAGAGAGATTGACTAGGAAGAGAGAGGAGTACGAGGGGTTTGTACCCTCTACAGTAAGGTTCAATAACAACCTACCAAGCCTATATTAAATTATAACGCATATAATTTTAACACACCCCCTAGGCTTGGTAGTGTCAAGCCCACTCACACCCCCACACCCACACACACACCCACACCCACACCCCCTAGCCCAGCACCCCCATTCCCAGCAGGAACCGAAACGACTCCGGAAGTGGGCAGATCCCACGGCCCGTGGGATGGCTATGGCGGCAGCAGCTACAGTGACGACAGCGGCGGCGTGCGGCGGCGCCCGGCCCGCGGCAACAGTGGCGGCAGCGGCGGCTTGAACGTCAGAGGCTGGTGCAGCGGCCCCCGCCCTCTCGGCGGCATGTCCAATTACCTTGGCGGTGGGGAGGGCCCTCATGAGGCAGTCGTCGGCTGCAGCAAGGGGGGGATGCAGGGGAAGGAGGGGGAGGTGGGGTGGGGGGGGGGGGGGGGGGGAGGGGCGCGGCGTAGTCCATAATCACGCCGGTGGCGGTAGAGCGGGCGGCAGGTCCGGCGGCGCCACTGACGTTGAGCGGTCGGCTGTCGCCCGACGACGCCGCCACGTTCGCCTTACGACGCCGCCAGGCCGCCGCACCACGGGACCTCGACGGCGCCACCACGGCTCGGCATCGTCGCTGCAGCTGCTCGGCGACGCTGAGACGGCGGCAGCAAAAAAAAGGAGCCGCCGCGGCATCTCGTCGGAGAAGCTGCTACGGCGGCAGGAAATTGGAAGGCAGGGAACGTAAACGCAGCGGAAGCACGGAGGGGAGCAGGCCCAGGGAGGGCGTCCTGCTCTCGATACCATGTTAAAGTAGATACTAAGCACTAGGCAGGAACGAGGCCGGCATGAATGTGGCGGCGGGGTTTAGCTAGGAGAGTAGGCGAGAGTATCGAGAGAAAAGAGAGATTGACTAGGAAGAGAGAGGAGTACAAGGAGGGGTTTGTACCCTCTACAAAAAGGTTCAGTAACAACCTACCAAGCCTATATTAAATTATAACGCATATAATTTTAACAATATGGTAACTGTTTCTGATTGGCGCGCGTTCTTGCAGCCCGCTGACATGAGTCGTCTGGGTCGCTAGGTGCTCTAGTCATGTCGCACACATTGTTTTTTCGTTGTGTTGCCACACCTCCATGGGCGGTCAGCTGCCCAGGGGCGAAATGGAATTCCATTCTGATGTTCGTGCGCCGGGCTCGTTTTGCCTACTGTACACCCCCTATCAAACTGGGCCCAACTAGAAAGGGGGGTCATTATTATATCTTCTCGCTTTAACTGGACACATATGGTTTCGTGTAAACATAAACCTAGTGGCAGAATTTGGAACCTGCATAAACAGATGATATCTCAAGAGTACGCCCCTACAAAAAGTGTAACCCGTTTTCGAACCTCGCTTCGCCGCGCTCAATGCTTGCGCTAGTTACTTGTTGTTTCTGCGGGGATTTCACGATATCCGCACAGTGCGGTTTTAATATAGCACCGTTGAGTTGTGAACCAGAAATAACCGCAGATAGTGAACAGAAATTCTGACTTGGTTGAGTTGTGACCTAGTAGCCTCCATTGTGCCTTCTTCGCGTAGGAGGCTGTGGGAGTGTGAAGTAACAGGGCCATAATTCTCGATTCGCTCTTTCTCTGGGATGCCAGTAATCGCGCAATCGCAAGACCAGACGTGCCCTTCCTCCGTTATTTCCTTTTCTCCGATACCGGTCGGAAGCAACAGCGGGGGTAGAGCTCCGCTCGCCGCTTACTCGCCAGGGCGCAGCGTTTGACTTATGAGTCGAATCAGAAGTCACATCGACCAGGGTGTAGATCTCCGCTCGCTTACTCGCCAGGCGCAGCGCCGTTCCTGAGCACGCGCGGACGAGACAGCGCGCAGAGGGGATAGCGCGCAGACGAGGCCGCGGGGGGGGAGGGGGGGGGGAGGGGAGGGACATCTACTGGTGCGTGCACGATGGGCGGAGTGAAGAGGCGGCGGCTGGCGGAAACAGTCGCGCCGGACGGCGATGGGGGCGGGGATGGGGATGCGGTGATGCTGGCGGGAGTAGGGAAAGAGCGGTGGGCCGGGAAGAGGAGTGGGCGACGGCAGACCGGAAAGGTGGATAAGATGGCGCGGATTGAGAGGGGCGGAAAGACGGGGAAGGTCGAGACGATCGCGAGGGGCGAAAAAATCGAGATGGAGCGAAGCGACGAGGGGAGTGAGGAGAGAGACGGCGACAACGAGGAGAGCGCGGGTAGCGGAGACGAAGGGAAGGAGAAGAGCGAAGCTGAAAGGGAGGGGCTTCGGGTGGAGGGCGACGCGGAGGGGGAGGAGGAAGAGGAGGAGAAGGTGGACTATGGGGAGGACGAGATTGAGGGGGAGGAGTATGAGGGGGGCGAGAGGGGGGAGGAGGGCGGGAAGGCGGAGGAGGGGCGAAATGTAGAGAAGACGTGTGAGGAGGGGGAGGCGGAGGAAGAGGCGGAGGAGGAAGAAGAGGAGGAGGAGGAAGTAGGGACAGAGGCACTGGAGAGTGAGGGCGAAGAGGAGGAGTGGGAGGGGAGAGAGCAGGAGGAAGCAGAGGAGGAGGGGGAGGATGGGTGGGTGGGAGAGGACGAAGAGGAAGAGGAGGAGGAGGAAGACGAGGAAGGGGAAGAGGAAGAGGAAGAAGAGGAGGAGGAGGAGGAGGAGTTGATGGAGGCGGAGAGAGCGATAAGGGAGTACGAGGTGAGGGGCGTGCGCATAGAGGGCTTCCGAGTGGTCAGGCGCACGGGCAGCCGACTGCACTTCTGCGCCAAGTGCCATTTCCCCATCGCCACATTTGGCCGACTGGTGAGTTACCTTCGTCACCTGGTGCCAGGTGCTTGTATCTCCCATCCCCCTATAGCTGAGTGCCTCAGGTCCAAGTGCCAAGTCCCCATCGCCACCTACGGCCGCCTGGTAGGTTGCGACGTCCACACCGTGTAACACATATGCCCCTTTTCACTCACCTCCCCATCGCCACGTGTGGCCCACTGGTAAGCTTGAATTGGCCACCCTAACCCGACAGGTTGGAAGAAGAAACGAGCGGATTGACAGGCAAGGCGAAGAAGGTCAAACAAGGACTGACCTATCTCATGGCGGGGCTCAGGCACCATTCTCTCATGGCGGGGCTCAGGCACCATTCTCTCATGGCGGGGCTCAGCCACCATTCTCTCATGGCGGGGCTCAGCCACCATTCTCTCATGGCGGGGCTCAGCCACCATTCTCTCATGGCGGGGCTCAGGCACCATTCTCTCATGGCGGGGCTCAGGCACCATTCGCTCATGGCGGGGCTCAGCCACCATTCTCTCATGGCGGGGCTCAGCCACCATTCTCTCATGCAAGGTTCAAAAATACGGTTTTCGAAAAATACGGTCCGTATTATTCGGCCGTTTTTTTTGGGGATTTTTGGAAAAAAACGCCGTTTTTTAAATAGAGCATCTTTTTTTTTTTTTTTTTGCTAGACAGCCTAATCGTCCGCCAGATCCGCGCCATTCGTCCGCCCAAATGCGAGATCCGCGCATTTCGACGGGCGAAATGTCGGATCTGCGTATTTCGGCTGACAAAACGTCAGATCCATGCATTTCGTCCACAAAAAACGCAAGATCTGGCACATTTTGGTGGGAAAAATGCCAGATCCGTGCATTTGGGCGGGCGAAATGCCAGATCCGCGCATTTCGTCGGATTGTTTTGCACTTTTTTTAATATTTCGGCCGTTTTTTTTAACCAACTTTTTTTTTGCACAATTTTCACCGTTTTTTTCGTATTTAACGGCCGTTTAATTCGATACCGTTTAATACGGTATTTTTTTGAAAAAAACGGCGTTTTTTTTAACCCTCTCATGGCGGGGCTCAGCCACCATTCTCTCATGGTGGGGCTCAGCCACCATTCTCTCATGGCGGGGCTCAGCCACCATTCTCTCATGGCGGGGCTCAGCCACCATTCTTGGGATCCCAATGATCCCTGTTGGGATGACCAAACCGCAAACTGGTTTGAAACCAACGCTCAATTTCGGAGGTTAACTTCAAGCAAGCTAGTCTTCAGCAAGCTATAGTTTAACATGGTTACCCAACTTTAATCTCAGTGGTTACTAGATCCTCAACTCAACTGGTTACGAAGCCTCTCCACCGGTGGGCGTTCATTCACTGTAGCAACCCGCCATCCGCACGCACTCGCCATCGCCCATTGCTTTTGAACCACTCACCGCCGTCTGCTTCCCATGCCTGCCTTAGGAGCCCTGCAACCATGCCTTGTGCATCACTCACCGCTGTCTGCTTCCCATGCCTGCCATTCTCTCCGCACTACTAGGAGTCCCGCCTGCCCGCACACCTTCTAACCCATTGCTCCTGTTTTATACCTTTGCTGTCGTCCCTTGTCTGTCCTTCACGCATTCCCACCACCAGGAGCCCTGCACGCACGCCTTTTGCCTCAAATGCGCCTCTTCACTCAAAGCGTGCTTCAGGTCAGCCCCCCGTCCTGTGCTTCAGGTCAGCCCCCCCTCCTGTGCTTCAGGTCAGCCCCCCCTCCTGTGCTTCAAGGTCAACACACACACCGGGCTTCTGCCGCCTTGTCTACATGTGGTCGTACTTGCCAGGTCTGCTTGTGTCGTTTAGGGCGTATTTATACCCCTGGGTGTAAACACTCCCTTAGGTGTCATCGTTCACGTGCGAATAAGGCTCGAGCGTGCTATATGGGCATACATGCAAACGATTTTCATGAGACCAATCCATACTATTCTCCTTTTTAATTGCTCATGCTTGTACTGTACAGATGGTGGGTGTCATCATCTCGACCATTCCCTCAGTGCACTCTCACATTCCTCAGTGCCCTCTCACATTCCTCAGTGCACTCTCACATTCCTCAGTGCCCTCTCACATTCCTCAGTGCCCTCTCACATTCCTCAGTGCCCTCTCTCCTTGTCCCCCCACCAGGGTTCTCGCCCCCATCTCAGCCTACCAAGGCGACCACTGCATCCCGGTGCTGCTCCCATCTGCTGTGGCACTTTCCCTGGGTATCCTAGTTGCGCCGGTCTTTCGTGCCACTCCTTGCATTGCCCTTGTTGTTTCCCTTCCTCCCTCCCCATCCCCCACTAGGTGCCTCGCCCCATCACAGCAGTGCACCCCATCTCTGCCTACCAGGGCGCCCTCTACATCTGTGCTGCTGCTCCCAGCTGCTATTCCTTCGCATCCCGTGTTTTCCCTTTGCACTCTTTTTTCTCCCTCCCTTCCCCCCAGGTGCCTCGCCCCCATCGCAGCAGTGCAACCCGTCTCAGCCTACCAGGGCGGCCTCTACATCTGCGGCGCTCCCAACTGCTTCCTCTCCTTCCTCCGCCTCGCTCACCTCTCCTCCCACTCCCGCTCCGCGCACCCCTCCATCGCCCCTCACCCCTCCCGCCCGCACCTCCTCCTCCCCCCTCCCCCGTCCCTCTCCCCTGCCACCTCTCCTGCATCTATGGGCGAGGGGGAGGTAGGGGGAGCGGGAGGAGAGGAAGGGGCAGAAGGGGGGTGGCAAGGGGAGGCTATGAAACGGCCGGCAGGGGCAGAGGTGGGAGAGGCAGCAGCGGCCGTGGCAGGGGCGACAGCAGGGCTGGCAGGGGCAGCGGCAGTGGCAGCAGCAGGAGGTTCAGGTGCAGTTGCAGGGGGGGCGGGTGGGAGGCCCGGTGCGGGTAGGGGAGCTGCCATTGCCCCTGCTGCTGCTGCTGCTGCTGCTGCTGGTGCAGCTGGTGGTGGCGGCACTGCAACTGCCCCTGCTGGTGCTGGTGGCAGTGTTGGTGGGGCGAAAATGGGTGGCGGAAAAGGAGGAGGGGGAGGAGCAGGGGGGGGTGGGGAGAGGGGAGCAGTGGGGTCCGGCACACCGGGTGGCAGTACATTTGGTGCAGGGAGAACTTCCCCCGCTGCTGCTCCCCCCCTTCCCCCCCCACCCGCTGCCCTCAGACCCTCTGCTCCCCCCCACGCCCCCTCTGCTTCCCCGCATACCCCATCCGCCCTCCCCCCTCCCCTTCCCCCACCCTCCCGCCAGCCTCTGCCCCACATGCATTCCTCCGGACCCCCTCTTCCCCCCCCTCCAGAAGCCTCGAGTGCAGGGGGCTTCCCCCCTCTTCCACCCATAGTCTCTCCTGCTTCCGTGCACCAGCCTCAGCAGCAGCAGCAGCAGCAGCAGCGACAGCACCCTCCTCTTCCCCCTCCCCCCTCATCCCTTCCCTCTCATCCCATCCCTCCTTCCCCACTCCCTCCCTCAAACCCCCCCTCTCAACCCAACGCGCCTCCTCTCCCTCGCCCCACTCCCCTCCCTCAACCCCCCCTCCCTCTCTCCGCTCCTCCCTCCTCCCCTTCCTCTGCCTTCTTCCCCGCACACACTCACTCCCCTTCACACCCTCCACTCCCCCCCACCGGTACCTTCCAACCAACTCCTCCTAATCCTACTTACCCCTCCTCCTCTCTCACTCGCCCCCCCCTCCCTCCACCTTCCACTCCTTCCACCCCTCCCAACCCCTCCCAATCCACCCCTCAGCCGCCGCTCCCTCCTCAATTCCCTTCCGCTCCCTCTTCACTCCCCTCGCACTTCTCCTCCCCCCCCACCCCGGTCCGCCCTCCCTCCATGCCTCCTCTTCCCGGAAGCTACTTGCCCGCCACGCCTCCCACTCCCTCCTACCCTCCCTCCTCCCCATCGCCCTCCCACCAGCAACTGCAGCAGCAGCAGCAGCAGCATCCCTCACGCATGATGGGAGGAGGCATGGGAGGAGGCATGGGAGGAGGTATGGGGGGAGGTATGGGAGGAGGCATGGGAGGAGGCATGGGAGGAGGCATGGGAGGAGGTATGGGTGGAGGTATGGGAGGAGGTATGGGGGGAATGGCACGAGACGGTGGGGGCCCAGGTCCTACTTCTGGCTCCTTCTTCCCCCCAGGGCCCTCTCCTGGGGGTGTGGGTGCCTTTGCTGCTGGCGCTGGTGGCCCCATGGGAGGGGGCATGGGGGGAGGAATGGCAGGAGGCATGGGAGGGGGCATGGGAGGGGGCATGGGCATGGGAGGGGGTATGATGGGTGCGAATATGGGAGGGGGCAGTATGGGCGGAGGGGTTGGGATGGGTGGGAGAATGGACGGAGGTGGCATGATGGGCTATAACATGCCTCCTCTACCCCCGCCTAGGCCTGGGGGGCCACATGGGAATTACCGCATGGACAGGCCAGGAGATGGAGGCATGGGGGGAGGCTGGGGGTAGGGGGAAGCAAGGAGAGGAGGCCTAGCACCCAATGATGGTTGTGATCATAAAGTGTTTTTGTTGGAGCAATTTCGAGGATGAATGCATAGAATGAAGCGAAGCTGGCTGGCACATTCGTGAGTCGGTGTCCCTCTAGTTGATGAGCAACGTAAGGAATGAGTAATTCCTTACTGAGGCTTGCTACAGGGCGTAGGCCTCGAACAGTCTCGAACCAGCGATAGGGTTCCAGAACTTTCAGTTCGACCCTCCTCGGCCTTCGTCACCAGGGTCCGTGCTAGGAAAAAACCTGTCTGATTGCTCAAACGGACCCTCCGTGTCAACTTATACATATGATCTATGTAGAAGTTGTTGGAAATACCTCAAAGGACTTGAGCGTTTCTAAAGTGTAACACTACACTCGAGGAAGATCGCAACGGGTACGCGAGTCAACGGAGGTTACACGAGGGGGTGAACAAAGAACGCAAAGGGACTCGAAGGGTCGCAACTGGAGGTTGCGACTGACAGTTACAGCTGCACGAATGGTAACCGAAGCGACAATCGAGTCGCACAGCGACTCGATAACCGCTCCTGCAACTGTATTCTACAACTGCTTTACTTTCCTATTTTCTATATATTGCTGTATGCTTGTTTCTTTAATCAATCACTTGTTCTCATATACTAGTACAAGGATTCAACTACTCAACTTCCACTGCACTACTAAAATCTCATTTTTCAACTGGGACTTAGTCTCTGGAAAGATCCTAAGGGCTTTTCTCAGCCCAACATGGTATGAGAGCTGGTCAGAGACCAAACTCCCAGCAACTAAGCTCTATCTACAATCTGCAATTCAAACGACTTCATTGATTACAAGTCATGGACAGCAAGGGCAAGAAAATCTCTACAGGCTCACCCAGCGCCCAAGACACTCAACCCGGCAACTCTGGATTGCACACTTCAGGACTGCAAATCGAGAACGGCGCTGCTCAAGAAACAACAGGAAGAGCACCGGAAATGGTGACTCCATCACCCTCTTCAAGCGTGGATCCGAACCTTATGGAAAGGTTCTTCAGCTTCATGTCGCACTTCGACCAGCAGCAGCAGACAAGGACACCTGCGCATTCAACACAGAGCAACGGAGGAAACATGGGATTAGCGCCGATGAGCCTCGACAATTCATCGTTCGGGCGACACAATCAAGCGCCTACCTTTGCGCCTTATCACTCTTCACCGGGGACATTCGAGTTCATGCCGCCCCGTGCCCAACCAACAGCAGCTGCATCACAACAGACACCAAACGAGATTTTGAGTCTCCAGGCGCAGTTTTCACACGTAATCAAGTTACAGACATCCTCACCATTCAACGGACACGACTTCTTTACCTGGAGCTTTGATTTCGAGCTGCTGATGGAGGCTGCGCATCTCTTGGGATACTTCAACGAGTCCCTGCCATTCCCAAGCAACGGCACTGGAAAGGAGCAAGAAATTTTCACGTATCAGTCGCTGCTGGCGTACACAGTTCTCCTGCGAAATCTGTCACCACAAGAGCAACAGAGCATCAGAACGTATCGGAGCTACGGAAACTCCGCGGAACTCGCATGGCATCATCTCAAGTGTCTCTATAAAGCAAACGACAGCGTGACACAAAGCAGACTCATGCAACAGCTGACAAAAACACAGATGAAGACCGGGGAGAAGGCGATGCAGTATATGAGTCGATGCCAAACACTCCGCGACCGCCTGCTTCGGTGCGGAGGAACAATCACTGAAGAAAGCTTCGTAACGCTTGTCCTCGCCGGGCTCGGGCCAGAATGGAGAACCACACGCTCGCTTCTTCGCGCCCACGGAAGGATCTCGGAGATGCACCTCTGCGCCGAGCTTCATGCTGAACAACAGGAGATGGACCTGTTCGAAGAAAGACAACCAAGAAAGCAGCAGCAGTTAGTTTTTTACACTCAACGAAGGAACGACAACAACTACAATCGACGCGGCAAGCAAGATCAACGCGACAACAGAGGACTCACCATCGTGCCGCCGTTCTGCCACAACTGTCAAACATCCGGACATTCCAAAATCAACTTCACACGTCCTCGTGTCTATCGTCTAGTAGACCCACAAGTCGCCTCCACTCAAGAAAGCCCTCCAAGACGTTCTACCACATCTGCACAAGGGACACCGAACATCATCAACTGCATGGTACACATCGACAACTGCGCACCCGGATCACCACCCACTTACGCGCCAGACGAAGAAGAATTCCCGCGGCCGCGCTCACAAGGACTTCAGGTCAACCCGACATACGCTGCGGTCACCAACGCCGAACCCACCGGGCGAAACACCTGGTTCTTGGACAGCTGCTGCGGTCAACACATGTGTTCTTCCGGACGCTTCGTGCAACAAGAGCGACGCCTCAACCGCGACGTCATCATCACCGTCACCAACAACGAGAACCTGAAAACAAACAGACAAGGGGTGGTTCAATTACAGTCCATGGAAACTAATGTCATCCTTCAACTCAACAAGGTCTTAATCTGCTAAGCGTCAGCCAGCTAATGGCAAAAGGGATTCACCTGGAGTGCGACTTGGACTCCAACGAGTTTCACCTTTACCACGGGAAGGGCGGCCTCTTCATCGGTCGTGCTCTCCTGAAGTCCGGCGTCTTCGTGTTGGACTTCGTCCATGACCGCGGTACTGCCGACAGCGATGGGATTGTGTCGTTCGCCGCCTGGACACACCCGCCGGATCTTGATCCCGACTTCAACCCCGATGGATTCTGGTACTCCAACACCATACCTGCAGCAAAGAGAACACGAGCATTAGCAGTCATCAGACAAGAAAGACAAGTACCAGCAAGTGTCCCTTCCCAACCATCACCTGCAGTAGCAGCAGCAGGACCCAGCCAAGTACCACCTCCAGCGATCCGAGGACCACCAACCGAAGCAGATCAACTTATGCTCATCACACGAGAAGTCTGCCGAAGTCCCGCCACGGTCGTCGCGTTTTTCTCCAACACCGACATGTACCAACGCTCGCCCGGCCATCGAGCTTCCGACGACATCTGGCACCAACGCCTTGGGCATCCTGCAAACAGCACCGTACTACAAACAATCCAAGCCGAAGTATTAGAACGAAATGCTCTTCTTACAACAAGCGGCCAAGAACTTCGAAGATCTCGCGCACGGTGCTTCACGTGCCCCGAAGCAGATCTTCCCCATCACCCCTTCCCATCACATCACAATCCAAGTGCGCCTGCATATGCACCGATGGAAAAGGTTTACAGCGACATCTTAAACATGCCTCGAGACGACACGGAAGCCGACTTGAACTACGTCATCACTTTTATCGATGCAGCAACAAGATATGTTTGGCACTACAACCTCAAGACGCGAGATCAAGCCTTCGAAGCCTTCAGAACGTGGCTCCCAATCGCTGAACGAGAATCAGGAACTACGCTCAAGAGTTTCCAATCCGACGGCGCACTAGAATACCAGTCACAACGATTCAGGACCTACTTGGCGGAGAGAGGAATCAGACGCCTAGTGTCTCTACCCTACGCTCACCAGCAACAGGGGGTCGCAGAAAGAATGAACCGGACGTTGCAGACGATGATGCAGAAGCTGCTCCTGGGGATGAGACTGCCCAACGCACTGTGGCCAGACGCGATGACCCATGCAGTCCACCTCCACAATTTGCTATCCTCGTCATCGCTCCCCAACAACGCATCACCGGACCTGCTGTGGACACGAAAAAGGGACAGCACAAAATTACTTCGGGTTTTCGGTTGCATGGTACAGTACAGACCCCACACAGCCAGAGCAGGACGTTTCACTCAACGAGCACGATGGGGGCTACACCTCGGCATCGCACAACATTTTCAAGCATGGAAAATCCTCGACATACAAGACAAAAATACCGTGGCATCACGTGATGTTATCTTCTACGAACGACTGACGCTGCAACATTACCTGGACAACGTCGCCAACACAGAAGACCCCACTGACGGTGTCGCAGGCCTTCGCTCCTTCGCTGACCGTGCTGCCGAAGCTGACGCAGCAGAAGAAGACGTACCTGGAGCTTCGGAAGCTGCCGGACCACTCCCTTACTGCTCCGTGCCAGTCCCACTCGACGACGACAATCCTCTCGATAGCAACAATCTCGACACCCTTTACCACTTCGCTGACCAAGGTTACGTTACACCTCACCCAGTCGACACGAACATCTCAGAACGCATCGGCCCAAACTTCTTACCTGATCCAGAAGATGGTGACGAAGCAGCCTATTCCGGGAATGAAAATTCCCCTCGACACACACCCACAGGACTGCAAATTCTCGGCTTATGGGTCTCCGTCCAGCATCCACCTCCGCCATCTCCGCGCGAGCCCATGACTCTGTCACAGGCTCTGGGGGGGGAACATAAGGCGAAATGGAAGGAGGCGATGGAAAAGGAACTAAAGGCTCTGCAAGATCGAAATACATGGAAGCTGGTACCTACAACAAGCATCAACGGGAAGAAGTCCTCTCGGGAAAGTGGGTGTACCGCATCAAGACCAATGCGGACGGTTCCATCGAACGATTCAAGGCTCGATGGGTCGTACGAGGGTTCGATCAACGATACGGAACCGACTACACAGAAACATTCGCCCCAGTCTCCCGTCACACCTCCTTGCGCATCCTACTCGCCATCGCGGCCACGAAGAAACTACCACTGCGCCAAATCGATGTCGCAAATGCTTTCCTGTACGCACCTGTGGACGCTGAGATCTTTGTCGAGCAACCCCATGGATTCATTGACGACCCCACAAAAGTATGCCAGCTGATAAAATCCCTTTACGGAATCAAACAAGCCCCGCGGCTCTGGCAGCAACATCTTCACGGTCGCCTCGTAAAAATCGGATTCCTACAGCTGCCGCATGACCAAGGCATGTACTGACTGCAGAAGGGAAGAGAGTATATCCTACTCATCGTTTACCACCGATCTGCTCTACATCGGTTCCACTACCGACATCGCCACCTGGTTCGAAGGAGAGCTGAAAGGGGACTTGACACTCACAGTGTCCGACATAGTGACCCAGTACCTGGGACTGAATGTCGTCGAAGACAACTCGGCGTTCTACCTACACGCTGGAAAATACGCAGGCACTGTCGCGAAGAAATTCGGTCTGACACCGACTACCATCCCGACTCCCTACCGCTACGGGAACAACAGCAGCACCTCCGCAAAACTCCCCGCGAAGCAAATCCAGGAGTATCAGCAGAAGCTCGGCTGCCTACTATTCGCAGCAGTAACCTGCCGACCCGATCTATCTTATAGCGCGAGCCAACTGGCGACGCATCTGAAGCAGCCGGAACAAGAAGATCTCGAGGAACTTAATCGGACACTACTCTACTTCGTCTCCACGCCGACGACCGGGCTTACCTACAATAAAGTAACGGCATCGTCCGTACAACTACTCGGATATGTCGACGCCGACCACGCGGGAGACAAGGGAAATTG